CTGTAATTTAACGACCGTTATTTTACGGTAAATATCTGTAATTTAACGGCCGTTATTTTACGGTAAATATCTGTAATTTAACGGCCGTTATTTTTCGGTAAATGTCTGTAATTTAACGGGCGTTATTTTACGGTAAATATCTGTAATTTAACGGCCGTTATTTTACAGTAAATGTCTGTAATTTAACGGCTGTTATTTTACGGTAAATATCTGTAATTTAACAGCCATTTTTTTTTTTTTTTTTTACAGTAAATGTATAATTTAACGGCCATTATTTTACAGTAAATGTCTAATTTACCATCTGTAATTTTACAGGTAAATGTCTGTAATTTAACGGCCATTACTGTACGGTAAATGTCTGTAATTTAACAGTCGTTATTTTACAGTAAATTTGTGTAATTTACAGTCCATTATTTTACGGTAAATGTCTGTAATTTACCTTCTGTTATTTCACGTTAAATGTCTTTAAGGGCTATTATTTTGCGGTAAATATCTCTAATTTACCTTTCGTTATTTTGCGGTAAATGTTTGTAATTTACCATCCGTTATTTTGCGGTAAATATCTGTAATTTAACGGTCATTATTTTATGGTAAATGTCTGTAATTTTATGCCCGTTATTTTACGATAAATGTCTGTCATTTGTTGGCCGTTATTTTACTTTTTTTTTTGCCACCCCAGCTGCTGGAAAAAAAGTACAATAACTGGTTGTTTTTAACAGTGTAGGTCAGTAGTGAAACATGACTTTCATCAGATTCTTCTCGGTTTTAAAGTTCACTTCGAAGGATTATTTTTACAATTTATGACGGCATAGCAGTCAAAATAAGACAATTGAGCTCATGTGTGGGACATTGTTTAATTATTATTAATTCCGGACCTTTGTCAGTGGGGGTCGGTCTTTCAAACCACCCGAACTCTCCCTGGCTACGGGCCTGTATGCAGTTTATTTTTAAATCAGTAAATTATTGTTAGAAAATATTTCTTTTCAGTAAGTAACAGATAAGTAATATCATACCATGACTTTTCCAAACATTTTAGATTTATTTGTTTTTCCCAAACATTTCCAAACCTGGAAAATTACTTGATATGTTTTCCAGTACTGTATGAACCCTGTTCTACTAAACAAAAAAGATGCCGATGATGGCCTGAAGGTGAATAAGTTTCACAAGTTTTCATTTTTTTCTCTTCATATTTATTCACGTTTGTAGTCCATGTTCTGTTTGTGTAACCTTCAATAGTGTTCCAGTCAAATATTACCACATGGCGTCTTAGCAAACAAAGACCGCTCAGTTTAAAAGAATTCACCAAATCAGATTTATTCTCCAAAGTGGCGTTTGGATTTACAAGTTTCAAGAAAATAAGCTCAATCAAGTGTTTATATTAGTTTCACTCTGCAGCCCCTTTCTAAAAGGAGACTTTCTTAAATTGTCATCCTACAAACAAACAGAAACCTATATATATATATATATATTTCTATGAAATCTGATACAATATATGTCTGAAAATCAAAAAAATAAATGTTATCAAAAATAAGAGGCAGGGAGTGCTAAAGGTTGTGCGTTAGGAAATCAGAATGAAATCATGCTTCCAGGTCAAGCGGACATATAGCAAGGAAGTCGGTTTTCCTCACCAGGAAACAGATAACGCAAACATGCTCTCTGGCTACTTCCCAGTTCTCTGAAAAGTTTCCTTTCCCACTGGCCTCTCTAAAGCTAGTGTTATCAATGCTGAATTAAGTATGGAGATTCAACCAAGGAATGTGTTAGAAGTGTTTGTTTTATGGAGCTTTAAAATATACAGATGTGTAACATTGATTTAAAGGACCACCACACTTTTTTCCTTTTGGAAATAGGCTCATTTTAGAGCCCCCTAAGGGTAAACAGTTGAGTTTTACTATTTTTATATCCATTCAGACGTCTAGCAGGAGCAATTTTAGCTTAGCTTATGGTACAGCAGCAAAGTTCCTTGATTATTACGCCGGATTTAGAATACAGTTCTTAGCCATGTTCATTTTCTGTCAGTCTTAGTACACAATCTCACTATTGAAGAGTTAAGATTTATATAGGAAAATTATTGAAACACTTTTTTTTTTTTTTGAGATGCTAATGGTCTGCAAACTGGCACCCATTGACTTCCATATATATATATATATATATATATATATATATATATATATATATATATATATATATATATATATATATATTTTTTTTTTTTTTTTCAGTCAATGGGTGCAATAAAAAGAAGATATTATGAAATATTACCCTCATTGACTTCCATAGTAGGAGAAACAATTATGGAAGTCAAAAAGTGCCAGTTAGCAGCATTTTAGTTTTAGATTGTTTCTCATACTATGGAAGTCAACGGGTGCCAAAAAAAAGCAGATATTATGAAAAATGCTGCTAGCTACACTCATCGACTTTCATCGAATGACAAACAACTACCGGATTTAGAATACAGTTCTTAGCCATATTCAGTTTCTGTCAGTCTTAGTACACAATCTCACTATTGAAGAGTTAAGATTTATATAGGAAAATTATTGAAATACTTTTTTTTTCTTCAATGATTTATGCTAAGCTAAAAGTGCTCCCGCTGACTTAAAATATTCAAAAATGTACTTATTTAACATTCAACTTGAAGCTATTTCCAAAAAAAAAAAAAAAAAAACAGGAGTGTTCCCTTTAAAATGACCTAAAGTTATGCATAAGATGTAACTCATTGTCCAATCAGATCTGTTTTTACAAGGAATGGATGCAGTTCAGAAAACTGGGTAACATTATAGACCATTACACAAAGACTTCCTTTGAATTAGCTTCACGAATGCAAATATGAAGTACACAGCAAGCATACAGAACCTCAACGAAACACTCTTAAGACTTGGACAGATGCGTGTTTGAAAGACAACGTTAGCTGTAACAATTTATTCAATCCATACATTAAAATCAAACCTATTAGCATAAAGAAAATAAAGTGTACATTACAACTGTGCCTGATGATAGAGGTTTTGTGTGTGTGTAATGTGCAAAAAAAAGAAATGAGAGTGTCACAACCTAAAACACCACCTGCCCAGGACTCGAGTGCATCGAGCCGGGATCAATATCACACAAAACTTGAATACAAGGCACTGTATGTACGATATTCCAGTCAACGCATCATCTAAGGGGTTTATAGATATTATAATATTTATTATAGCTCGATTTTAACCTGCATATATTAGCCTTGTCCACTCCTCTGTAACAATAAGTGAGAATAAACTATAAAGCTCCAAAGAAAGCACCAAACAAGTCCAATTTTGATATGTATAAAATAAAATAAGAGCAGCTGATGACAACTCTGAACTGATTTACGCCTTTTATTCCTCCATTTCTGCTTGATTATATTTAGGAACAAATATATTTTATGACCTTTAAAGGGATAGTTTACCCAAAAATGACAATTCTGACAATTTACTCAACCTTTACACGTTCAAAACTCATTTTATCCCATTCTGTTTTACACAAAGAAGATATTTCTTCCATATGTGGATCTACATTTTCCTACTATGGAAGTCAATGGGTGGCAAAAAAAAAGATATTATAAAAATGCTGCTAGCTGGCACTCATTGACTTCCATAGATTGTTTTTCCTACTATGGAAGTCAATGGGTGCCTTAAAACTAAGATTATGAAATATCTTCCCCCATTGACTTCTATAGTAGGAGAAACAATTATGGAAGTCAATGAGTGCCTGTTAGCAGCATTTTTGTTAATATCCTTTTTTTTGGCACCCATTGACTTCCATAGATTGTTGTTTTTTTTTTTTTTTTTACTAAAGGAAGTCAATGGGTCCCGTAAAAATAAGATATTATGAAATATCTTCCCCCATTGACTTCTATAGTAGGAGAAACAATTATGGAAGTCAACAAGTGCCAGATAGCAGCATTTTAGCTAATATCCTTTTTTTTTGGCACCCATTAACGTCCATAGATTGTTTCCCATACTATGGAAGTCAATGGGTGCCAAAAAAAGCAGATATTATGAAAAATGCTGCTAGCTACACTCATAGACTTCCATGGATTTTTTCCCCCTACTATGGAAGTCAATATCTGCCAAAAAAGAAGATAATATGAAAAATTCTGCTAGCTGGCACTCTTTGACTTCCATAGATTGTTTTTGCTACTATGGAAGTCAGTGGGTGCCATGAAAAGAAGATATTGTGAAATATCTTCCCCCATTTACTTCCATAGTAGGAGAAACAATTATGGAAGTCAATAAGTGCCAGTTAGCGGCATTTTTGTTAATATCCTTTTTTTATTGGCACCCATTGACTTCCATAGATTGTTTTTCCTACTATGCAAGTCAATGGGTGCCAAAAAAAAGCTGATATTATGAAAAATGCTGCTGGCTAGCACTCATCGACATACATGGATTGCTTTTTCCTACTATGGAAGTCAATGTCTGCCAAAAAAGAAGATATTATGAAAAATGCTGCTAGCTGGCACTCATTGACTTCCATAGATTGTTATTGCTACTATCGAAGTCAATGGGTACCAGCTAGCATAATTTTTCATAATATCTTCTTTTTTGCCACCCATTGACTTCCATAGTAGGATTCACAATATATAAAAAGTAAATGGGTGCCAAAAAAAGTAGATGATATGAAAAATGCTGCTAGCTGGCACTCATTGACTTCCATAGACTGTTTTTCCTTCTATAAAAGTCAATGGGTGCCAGAAAATTCTTCAATATATCCTTATCAACATATCTAGTTTAAATTTTGGGGTGAACCATCCCTTTAATTTTGTGACACGATTTAAAATTCGCCGTTTTAATAGTTTTTGATCTCTGACTTTTGAGAGACAATTGATTTAATGTACTTATTTTGAACTGACTTCATGATTCAAAAATGATCTGGCCATGATTTAATCCCGATAACTTTCATTCAAATGAACTCCAGTGAGAGAAATCCCAGTCTTTAATCTAAATAATGCCTAAGCCAGTTTTCCTGTGGAGATCTGCTGTAAATGGCCAACAAGGGAAAGGCAATGAAGTGGATCTCAGACCAAAAAACAAAACAAAAAAAGTGCCAAGGTATCTTTGGTCAACCAAGCCCCAAAAGTATTTTCAAATATATAAATGTGTCTTTTGTAAATCCTTTTGTAAATCACAGTCTCATCTTTCATCTCTAAATAATAAATGATATTATCTTTATCAAACCCTGAGCTGAGAGAGGAGGCCTTGAAGACATTAGACTATTAATTCCGACAAAAAAAAAAAGAGATTATCGATTTAAAAGTCAAGCGTGGGATAAATAAACCCTGCTGGAAAATCGTTATGTTTTGAAACTACAGTTCATGAAACATGGACTACAAAGCCAAACATTTGTGGACCTCTAATGCTAGAACACTTCATTCAAACAATGAAATGCAACTGAATTGTGCGGGAGGGTTGAGAATGTAAGTGTTATAGCAGCAAAGGAATGACAAACAACTACTAATGCCCATAGATTTGATTTTAAATGCTTGTTGGGTGCTGGATTATGGATTTTTCTTCCAAAACAAATGTCTTTCCTGAAAATAAAAATAAAGAATTTACCTTAACAGCATTTTATACTACTGAATAACCAAAAAGATACGTATAATATGGCCAGATGAATCCCCCCGCCTCGACGAAAGTAAGAAAAAGAAGCAGCAGCTTGAAAGACTGCAAGACTGCATAGTTAGTTTTGAAAAGTACTAAAGCTTTCGAAAGGGAGAGCAAAAACACACATTCTCTCTCTTTCAGTCCAGCAAAGACCCCGTTCAACCTCCTAGAAAGTGAGCTGGGCGCTTATACACACTGTTATATAAGTCTCCGTCTCTCACACACAAACACACACACACACGCGCACACTTGCTAAAGGCAACCTTTAGGTCCAGTTTGTCTCAGAAACACACTAAATAAGAGTGCATGGGTACACACTGAGCTACATTTTAATCTGACGGTTCTGCACTTCTGAAAGTGCTTAATGGAGTCTAGAAGAAAAAAAAACCTCCTAAGATGCATTTATATGGCATCCAGCATTCACTAAATGTATTATGAAAGATGCTTCAGGCTGTGTTAAAAGCCCTAAAACAAAGGTTTTTGAGTTCCTTGCTAAGCCCACACGTACACAAGCTCTCACACGCAACAGATTATCCCTAGAAACGACCCAACAAAATCACCCAGTGTCACCGCGATACTCATCAACGTAATTAAATACAATTATTTATCTACAACTCAAACTGCAGGCTCAGTTATTAGAAACGATAATAGAAAATGAGCATTTCACACTCACAGACGTGATCCTTTAACAGATATCCACGATTACTGGACCAAACTAATGACAGAAGTCATAAAAGGAGATTTTTGAAATAATAAAAGGGCTAAAAATAATGACGGGACTACAGAAATGATGACTCTTCCACACAAATGTAAAATTCCCTGATATTTTCCATCTTCCCAAGACTGTAGGATCCCAGCCCTATCAGAGTAGGCTGGCGTGCAACTTCTCCATGTGTTCACATGGGTTCTCCCACTACCCCTTCGCAATCCCTTGCTTCGAAGCCCCGCGTTATTGCTTTGACTACTGCCCGGAGATGCCTTTGGGCATAATGTGGCCTAAAAGATATGCCAAGCGTTATGTGCTCGCTCTTTAGACCCCCATCCCCCTATAGACTCAAGTCCTGTGTAAACGGAAGGACCGGCTTTCTACTGCCCCCGTGTGGATGGGAGGACTTTTGGATTCCCGAAAGTCCTGCGGAAGCCAAGCAGAATTCATTAGCAGCCTCCAGAGCGTAAAGGGCGGTGCGTGTTATAGGAGTGTAAACAGTCACAGCAGGGCAGTGTGTGTGCAAACACATTCACACAACTCTAATGAGCTGTAAACAGGAACAGCAGCACTGCGGCCATGGAGATCGGCGTCGAGTGGGAAGTGATCTGAAATGTTGCTTGGATGTGAAACTCTGTGGGTTTTAATCTGATGAATCGGATTCATTTCCCTCATTTAAACCAGCGTGTTTTTGTGCTTCGAGCACACGGGGGGCAGAATTTCACACGGGACAAAATCAAAACACATTAAAGTAACAGAGAATTCCAATGACATTCAAAGACTGTAACAGATACTCCAATCTGAGGAGGAATAAGCAGCTCCCGGCCCTCAATAACTGACCTAACACACGCTCCCTGCAGGTGGAACGTCACCGTGAATGGAATATAAAGCAGATATGAGTGAAACAGGGTAATTCTAAGATGAGGTCTTGTTGTACTGTAAGTGTCGTAACCTTCAGCTGTGACGTCGGTTGATTGTTTGTTCTAGATGAAGACAGCACTTCACTAGTCGGCCTTGGAGATATCTGGCGAGGACAGCGGAGAGCTCTGGTTCTGAGCGTCTCGCTGCCGCTTGTAGAGCCGGTAGCCTTTACGGCAGAGGAGGACGAACCAGTAGACCTGCGGCGCCAGGATGCAGACGCTGCCCACGTTGGTGGCGAGCGGCAGGTGGAAGGGGACGCTGTAGAGCGGGATGCCGTAGTGTGAGCTGTAGGCCCAGTACATGTAGGGGAAGAGCGCAATGCGGCACATGAAGAAGCTTAGCAGAACCATGCCGCCGTTAAACTTGTGCAGCCAGCAGTCCTGCAAGCCCAGCTACAGGAAAAGATGGACAGGAAGAGGAATTGAGGGTTAGAAAATTGGCCAAAACAGGGGTAACACATATGATATTATGGGATATGGGAATTTATGCTATGTAGAATCTTTGAAAACACATCCACATTACATCAATGAAGTAGGGGTGTGCGATGTCTATAGTAACTGTTGTTTAAAGGATTCAATTCACCTTTATTTGTATTGCACTTTTACAATGTAGATTATGTCAAAGCAGCTTAACAGATCAAGTTCTAGTACAATAAAACTGCTTCAGTTCAGCTATCAAAGATATGCAAACTGACATTATGGATAAACTCACTCACGATGCAAAAAATACAAACCAAATTGAAATTCTAAAATTAATCAATTGTTTGTAAATACATCCTAAAAGCTTCAATGCACACAAAGTCTAAAATACAAATGATGAGAGAAAAAATACAAATGTTTGTTTACTCAATTGCTTTATTTCTATATGAATCTTTCTAAATTAATAATGTGGATGATCGATTCAATGAACCCCTACCAGCCATGGTACAGCACAAAAAATACAGTTGAATAACCGTAATCGAGAGTCCCAATAGAATATTTATTTATCGAGATACAGTTTGCATTTTTGTGGTTAATGTCGCACACCCCTACTGTAAACTGTTCACACATAATCCGATGTACACCACACACAATATTAGCAAGATATGCAACCTTTTTGCATTATAAACACTCTCAGTAAAAATAAAAGGAAACAGCAGCAAATATTAAAATATAAAAATATTTACAGAGCAAGACAATATGCTGTTTGAGAAACTTTGCAGCAGTCATAATTATATATATTTTTATTTACTGCCAATGAAATAAATCAGAAAATATAGTGTTATAAATATACATTTGAGGTCAGAATTATAAGCCCCTCTCTGAATTTTTTTATTTATTTAAATATTTCACAAATGATGTTTAACAGAGCAAGGAAATTTTCACAGTATGTCTGATAATATTTTTTCTTCTGAAGAAAGTCTTATTTGTTTTATTTCTAGAATAAAAGCAGTTTTTATTATTTTAACACCATTTTAAGGTCAATATTATTAGCTTCTTAAGCTATTTTTTTCAATAGTCAAACCATCGTTATAAAATACTTGCCTAATTACCCTAACTTGCCTAGTTAGCCTAATGAACCTAGTTAAGCCTTTAAATGTGACTTTAAGCTGTATGGAAGTGTCTTGAAAAATATCTAGTCAAATATTATTTACTGTCATCATGGCAAAGATAAAATAAATCAGCTATTAGAAATGAGTTATTAAAACTATTGTATTTAGAAATGTGTTGAAAAAAAATTCTTTATGTTAAAAAGAAATTGGGAAGAAAAAAATAAACAGGGGGGCTAATAATTCTGACTTCAACTCTACATAAAAAATTATTTAATAATAATAATTCTCAGTTAGAAATGCTGTAATTTTGTCAGAATGTACATTCAACCGAGTGTCTAAGCTACTTGAATTAGCACTTTCAAAAGAAATGTTTGCTGTATTTGAAATAATTTTAAGCCAATGACAGAGAAAGAAAAGAGTAGAATTGGAGACACTTAAAGGGAGGATTTAATCATTAAAGACGAACATATTCTTATTTTCTTTTCCTGTTGTAGTTCCAGATCGTTAGATCTTCGTCTGTGTTGGTCAGAAGAGAAAAACAAATAGCAATTCTCATCATTTTTAGATAACCTTTCACTTTGCTTCATCCATTTAAAATAGTTGTGGCTTATCATTCTGATTGATGCCTGCCTCATCCCCTTTAGCAATTCTTTATCAAAAAATTACAAAGAAAACCAGACTTCATGCTGTTAATAAATATACACATATATATATATATATATATATATATATATATATATATATATATATATATGTGCATATATAT